TTTTTTTAAATCGCTATATAGCCCCCCCCGTAAAGAAAAAAAACGCATAAATTTCATTCATCATTTTAGGGGGTATTTTTTTTTACGGGGGGGGCTATATTATATAGCAATTTAAAAAAAAAAAAAAAGAAGAAAACGGAAGGAAGTTAACCTCAAAGTATAAATCGAAACAAAACTGCACGCTTTTTACTAGATGCATGCAAATGGATGGCGAAAAGGCTAGTATATAATTATATTTGTTCACTTTTACATGTGCCACTCACGTGCCACAAATGCCAAAAATTGTTTCGTCACGGATTTGCCTTGTTTAACACTTTTCGCGAATTAGCACACAGGAATGTCTCGTATACGCAGCGCTTATGGTGCTGAACAAAACGCGTGCGCGTATATAGCACATTAGCGCGGGGCGCACATCAGATGGCACATAAATACAGGATATTTATATACCTGCATGCCATATGCAAATGTGGCCATAACTGCTTAACACTTCTCGTTCGCACGAATGTTCTCTCAATGCGTAAAAGTCAAAAAGGCCGTATATTGAGTACCTTTTATTGTATAATTTATACATACATCATTAGCAGGTACATATTATACGTATATATTATACATATTGTATATATATACTAACACGCGCGTATATGTGAACAACTGCGAGTAAATAATGCCACATTTGACATATGTGCTGCGAGCACAAATCCAACCCCCACCCTTCCTGTCAACAAAGCCACTTAAAAGAAATGCCGCTTGAGGAGAGCAAATGTGTTTTTTTTTTTTTTTTTCACCTTCGCAAAAAAAGTTAAATGGTTTTGTATTCGCGCCAGTATATTTCATCATTCAGAGAGGCGAAGAAAAAGAGAAAAAAGAAAACGAAACCCCCCAATTCGATGAGGAAGAGTACCTTCCCTGGTGTACATATATACGTAAATATGTGAGTCATATAAGTACCTATATGTTAGTACATAATTTGTACGTACGTACCTGCTTCCGTTCGCGGCGGCCAGTATGCAGCCATTTGACATAGGGGTACTCTGGCTTTCTTCCCCCCCCCTCCCTTCCTCCGTACGTGAATAAAAGAAAAAAAGAGAGGCCCCACAAAATGAAAAAAAAAAAACCTTAGGTGTACCTAACTCCCTGTTAGCATGAAAAAGGGGGCCACCCTCATTTCTGTTCATCTCAGTTTCTGCGCTCAGAAAGTGTATCCATAAATATATTACATATACGTGTACATATTTGCTTTTCTCAACTGGAAGATTCTTTTGCAATTGTTACAATCGTGTGAATGGCGCGAACGTTCTCACAGGTATACGTGTACACGTACATATTATATATGTAGGAATAACGTGTACAAAAAGTGGCAAACATAAGAGAGCTGAGTCTATTCAAACGACGTTGCCAGGTTGGCATTCAGTTGTGCCACGAACATTCACCCATCAGCCCGTTTGGTACATACAATTTATCCTTCGCACGCCGAGGAAAAAAAAAAAAATCGTGAAGGACGTGAAAAAATTGAGCAGTTGCCAATCCGCACGTACGTACGATGATATATGTATAAGTGAGCTTTTTTGTTCTTCCTTCCCCTTTGTGATGTATACAGTTTTTGCACTAACTCATAAAATGGCATATGAGAAAAAAAAAATTGTTTTCGTTAAGATGAAAGTTTTAAAGGTGTGCCACCCCGTTCGTACATATGTACAAAAGCAAACTGTAATGTGCACAAAAATGGGGCTTTAAAAAATCCCTCGTGTGAACATGGCGAAGTACTGCCAATCGCCGTGGCGTCGTTTGGGGGCGAATACTTCATCCCATCGCCGTGTGCATTATTCCAAAGGAGAAAAAAGTTCCAAGGAAAGGCACTTGTTATAGGAGGAATGTCCACAAAAACAGGGTTAAAAAAATGCCGCTGACAATTTAAAAATATCATTATGAAGTATGACTACTTGGGTCATGCTGTTCACTTTTCTCATGTGCGTTGCTATGTGTGGCCTCTCTCAAAGGAGGAAAAAAAAAAATCGTTTTGAGGAAAGTTCTTTCCAAAAGGTGGCTCCAATAAAAAGAAAAAAACAACGAATAATGAGTAGACCGACGTCGCTCACCTTTTATAAGAAAAAAAGTGTAAAATTTTAACCTCGTGAGAATTGAATAAAATAAAGGCAGTTCCGCCTGAATGAAAAATGTAACATTCACTTTTTGTAGGTTTAAAAAAAGTTAAGTGGAGTGTATCCAAACTCAGAAAAGTGACTGCGCCAAGGCGTATAATCTTTTAACTTTGGACGTATGCAACCTGTGTACTACATATGTGGACACACACCCGTTTTTTTTTTCTCCCTTCGTCCCAAACTTGTAATTAATTCATGCCGCTTCTCCCAAAGTTGGGGAAAAGAGGGAGCAAAGAAGGTAACCCTACGTGGTTAACAAATTCTTACAGAGAAACCGTTCCTGTATAATGCAAAAAAGTCAAGTGAAAAGGGAAAAAACAGCAATTTTTTAAAAATAGCTGCATGTAATATCCTGCCATGTTGACATATAAAAATATTCTACCACTCCTCTTTTGCCAATGTTTACATGAGTTTGGCACCCACCGGATGATGTATTTTGGCTTGCTCCTCCTTCATTTTCCCTTTTGTTTACTTCTTTTTTTCCCCATGATGGGCAAAAAGAGGATACGTACAAGTGTATCGTCGAGATAGCCGCGATTGTAACCATGTCCAGCGCCGTGTGATCGGGTCCTCTCTCCCCCCGCGCAGCGATACAGAAACGAACAGCGAACACCAGAGAGAGGAGCGACCCCAAACGGGAACAAGTACCTCTAACCGAGGGGCACTCCTTCGCGGGCCTTCAAAAAAGTGCGGAGCCCGTTTGTGGGGAAAAACTTCAGCCGTGCCCGCGCAGGAAATGTATAAAAAGATACCTAATAAAAGGAGCATATACAAAACAGTGACAAGTGAACGTTGCATCAAAGAGGCAACACCCTCTTCTAGCGTGCCAAAGAACGAAATATGAAGGAACTCATAGAGAGCGTGCTGCAGCTCATCGACCCAGATGAAGAAACGGAGACCTACTTACGAGAAAGGATAAACGACGAAAAGGACATAATTCAGAAAAAGGGAGTAGACTATTTGTACGATTTGGTCTCTACCTTCTCGGATGCAAAAATAAAGAAGAGCACCGTTGAAGATATTTTTAACAAACATATGAAAAGAGAAAATGGAGTAGGGACTGATGAGAAAAAAAATGAGGATAGTCAAAAACTGGCCGAAATGGTGAACTTAAAGGAATACTGGAAAAAAAATGATGTGGTAGGATATTATGACCCGTTTTTAGGGATACAGGAAAAACAGATTAATTACAATACGAGCATCCCTATCAGTGAAAGCATAAGAATAAGTAAAGAAAAAGAAAAACAAAGACAGAAACAACTGAACTTGTTTAAAGAATGGGTAAAAAATAAAATTAAAATTCCATCCCCTGTACGGGTGCACAATTTGTTACACTGTTCTGATTCAAGTAAAAACAAAACGAAAATTGAAAAAATGTATGACATCCGAATTGATAATTTTACGCTAAGCATTGGACAAAGGAGTTTACTAACGGATACGACTCTAAAAATAAACGTCATGAATAAATATGGACTGATAGGAAAAAATGGAATCGGGAAAAGTACCCTCTTGGCGAAGCTAGCTAGATACGAAATTGAAGAAATTAAGAAAGATATATCCATAGCATGTATTGAGCAGGATTTATTTCTTGAAGATGTGACCGTGCTGGAGTGTGTTCTGATGGTCGACAAACTAAGACATGATCTGTTGACAGAATTGGAACGACTGGAATTAAAAAAGAGCAAGTCGGCTCCCAGTCGGGGGGGTCCAGACGGAGAAACTAATCAAGGGGGAGAGAAGCAGAAATGTAAGGAGGAAGAGGTGGACAAAGGGGGCGAACGGGGCGAAACGGGCCAAGGGCACGAAACTGGCGAAAGGGATGAACGGGACGAACGGGGCGAAGAGGACGAAAAAGACATCGACCTAAAGATACTAACCATTTATGAAAAACTGAACAGCATTAACTACTTAGAAGCGGAAAAGGAAGCCAGCAAAATTTTGTGTGGGCTAGGTTTTGACTCAAATTTACAAAAGAAAAAAGTCAACTCCCTCAGCGGAGGCATGAGAATGAGACTCTGTCTAAGCCGCATTCTGTTCAGCAACAATGATATCATATTGCTAGATGAGCCGACGAACCATCTGGATATCTATACCATACAATTTCTGATAGATTATATAAAAAAATTAAATAAGACGTGCATTATTGTCTCCCATGATAGAGATTTTCTGAATGAAGTTTGCACCGATATTATTCATTTTCATCAGAAGCAGTTAACCTATTATTCTGGAAATTATGACCAGTTTGAAAAAACTAGAGTAGAACATCTACTGCAACAACAGAGAGAACATGATTCCATTGAAATGAAGAAAAAACACGTGCAGAAATTTATAGACCGATTTAGATGCAACTCCAAAAGAGCAGCTTTGGTCCAAAGCAGAATAAAACTTTTAAACAAATTACCTGTAGTAAATTTAGAAAAGGAAGAAACTCCATTCAGCTTTTCCTTTCTTGAACCTTTTTACACATCTAATGTGCTCATACGGCTCAAAAATATTTCCTTTAAAAATGAAATGTTTAAAAATTTACAAATAAAAAAGAACGCAAATATTATTATAGCCGACAATGTGGAAGACACCAATGGGAAAGTTAACGGGAAGTCACACGACGGCACCAAAGGGGAAGATACAACTACAGCACGTAGCGATGATTATCAGTTTAGACATGAATTTTTATTTAAAAATGCTACCTTCGAAGTAGACATGGACTCTAGAATTGCCATATGTGGGGTTAATGGAAGTGGAAAAACGACATTAATTAAAATTATTTTAAACCTAATAGACACTTTCGAGGGGGAGTTACATGTGAGCAATAAGGCTAATATCGGTTACTACTCCCAGTATCATGTAGACAGCTTAAATCCTATATTTAACTCCATTCAGCAGCTGCAGTACAATTATTCCCACAAAAATATAAAAGAAGAAGAAGCTATAAAATACTTCAACAAATTTAACATTCCGACGAACGTTTTATACGAACCAATTTATGTCCTTTCTGGAGGCCAGAAAAGCAAATTGGCACTAGCCATTTTGGCTTATAAAAATCCAAATATCTTAATTCTTGATGAACCGTCCAATCACCTTGACATTGAATCCGTTCAAGCTTTAATTGTCGCCTTAAATCTGTACAAGGGAGGACTCATTATTATTAGTCACGATACGTATTTGATAAAACATGTAGCAGATGAAATATATCACATAAACAACCTGACGAAGGAGTTGATTAAAATTGACTATGACTTCGATAAATATGCCAAGTTGCTCCTAGAAAATAAGATATAGTGCATTTGTCTAACCTTTTTTTATCGCCCCGTTTTGCGGCAATACGCATGGTTGTACATGTGATAATGTGCAATTTGCAATGTGCGATATGCGGATGGGCTTATGTCACCAAACTGATCACCACCCTTCGCA